GAATTGGTATTGGCCTACCCATCAGCGTTAGGGTCGGCATGAACAAAGAAGTCAGCCTCTGGCAGGCTGACGGTTGCACTGTTGGCTCCACCCTGGCCCCCTGGGCCCCACGGGGCGCCAAGACGATATGGGGTTGAGAGCTCCAGTGGGCCAGCCAAACGCGAGGGGGGCTCTTCTTGCCCCTTGAACCCCTCAAAAATCGCGGCGGGTGGCTCACTCTGCTCATTCTGATGATGGGGTAGATGTTGATCTCCTTCTTCATCGTCGCGTGCCGGTTGGGCGTGCGAACAGAAGAGGGTCCCCCCCCCCCACGAAACCGATGAGCGGAAGTTCAGATGTCGTCTTTCATGGTGCCTGGTGCGCACGCCGACTTCCTTGGTGGCTGCCCCAGCGGCCCCCAGTCGTGCGCGTTCTGGCCGTGCGCTGGGTCGGCTGGCGATGTGGGGCTGAGACCCGCTGTCTGGTGGCGCTCGGGCGTTGTTGGTGCTGGGGGCACCTGTGCTGCAACCTGGGTGTCTGGTTGAGTCTGCGATGCTAGCTGAGCCGGAGCGGAGTGGAAACCTGGCGCGTAGACTTCCGGGAGGAATGGCGCCGTGGGTGAACGCCCCGCTGCTGTGGCAAAGGCTGGGCTGCGTACCAGCGTAGGCTCCGACGGTGAAGGCATCTGGCTGGGAACCTCGACCTCCGTGGGAGATGGTACCGCTGGTGGCTGCCCTTTGCCTGCCTGCCCTGGTGGCGAGCTGGGACTCGGCACTACTGTTGGCACGGAGTGCTCGGTAGGCGGGCTGCGGTGCAGGGGAGCTCTGGGCGGGGAGGTCGGGCATGGCATTCTGGCTGCTTCCGCCTGCTCTTGGATTTCGCGCTGCTTCTGGAAGAAAGCGTCCGCGGCGGCCTGCGCAACTCTGTCCAACCCCTGCAGCTGTGAGCTTATGGTTGGTTGCGAGTCTGCTGGCGGGGTCGGTGGGACCTGCTGGGTCGGAGACGACTGCGCGGTGACCGCCGCCTGGCTCGGTCCCGTTCCCCTTGCTGCCTCCAGTTGGGCGTGCAGCTCCCTGATCGTCGCTGGGTCCTTGTAGCCCCCCGTCTCTGGGGTCGGACGGTCCATCCCAGCGGCCTCTGCTGCCGCAATGGCGCGGGTCAGCTCGTGCTGGGCTTGGCGGGGGCCTGGCCCTCCAGGGAGCGGGGCTGGCGGGTGCGCTGGCCCCTGGGCTGGGAGCGGCGCTGCAAGGTTCGCCGTTGTAGGCGCTGCTCCCTTCTGATCCACTGCCATGGGGGCCATCGCCCCCTCTGGGGTAGGCCCCGCTGCGCTGGCGTCCTTGCCCTTCCCTTTCGCCGCCATGTAAGCTTGGCCCATGGCCGACTTGGACCTCGCCGGCGTGCCCTGGTGCACTTGCTGGGTCTGCTGAGGCTGGCTGAAAACTTGCTGGGGAAGGAAAGTGCCCTGCGTGATAGTCTGCATCTGCTGGATCAGATGTGCTGGAGGCGGTGGCAGGACCGCGCCCGTGACGGGCGGGGGGACTCCAGGGACGCCCTGTATGCATGCCCCCGCGGCTGGCTGCACTAATCCCAGCAGCTGGCTGATTACGCTTTGCTGCATGGCGAGCTGTGCTTGTATCTGAGCCATTTGATTGCCAGGCGCTGCTGGTGGGGGTGGCGGTGGTGCCACATTGTGCGAAACTGGGCCGTCTGCTGCCTGATGGTCCTGGGCCACGTCGTCGGGCTCTTCGTCCTCGGAGTCTGGGGCATCCTCCAGTTCGGCTATGCAGACGTCGGTATTGGCGATCTCCGTCTCGACCAGTTTTTCTTGCTGCTTGAACTCTTTGATGCTTTCCCGAATCTTGGCAAGTTTCTCCTTGTACGTAGTCTTCTTGTCCTTGAGGGCCTGGATCTGGTCCTTGCGCTTCTCGGTGAGTCCCATCAGGAACTTGAGTGCTGCAACTTCTATTAGCTCCTGGTCGCAGGGTTTGTTGGCCCGCCTGGCCGCACAGATGAGGTTGGCAACGTCGTATGTGCGGCTCTTGATCTCGTCTTTGTACTGGCGTTGCGCGGCAGGGTCTGTGGGAGGCTTGCCGTAAACCTCGTAGACATTGTGCGCTTCTGCCTCGCTCTTCGGGAGAGGTAGTGTCTTGGCATTGAGCTTCTTCGCCAGGGGCTCGGGCTGGGTAGCCCACCTCGGGGTGGAAGCACTTGCTGCCTGCTGCTGTGGCGGTCGCCCCCGCGATGCAGGGCGTCGTCCCCTTTGGTTGTAGTGGCCATTGCAGCTTCGGCACGTCCAGTGCCGCTCTGATACATGTCGCCCACACGCACACTGCCAGGTACCAGCCATGTCTTCTGCACAGTCGGACTGGCGCCGTGGTTGTTGGGCGCTGTGGTGACGTTGGGGCAGCTCACGAGCGCTGACCGCCCTCACGAGCAGTCGCGCTAGTCCGCGGGCTCTCCTTTCACGTCGGTGCCAGGCGGGCTCTCTTGACCGAGAACGCCGCCAGTGCCGCCTCTCGAATGGCGGCGTGACCGCGGCGATGCCGCAGTGGCCGCGGCTGGGCTGCGGGTGCGCTGCGCCGCCTGCAGGCAGCGCTGCCGCGGGGGTCCGCGGGCTATGGCGCGCGCGGGCCGAGGGCCACGCGTTAGGCCACGGCGGGAAGGGCTGCCCCCCAATCCCCAGGGGCGCCCCTCAGCCGATACGCCTTCTCCTCCTCCTCCTCCTCCTCCTCCTCCTCCTCCTCCTCCTCCTCCTCCTCCTCCTCCTCCTCCTCCTCCTCCTCCCCCCTCCTCCTCCTCCTCCTCCCCTCCTCCTCCTCCTCCTCCTCCCTCCTCCTCCTCCTCCTCCCTCCTCCTCCTCCTCCTCCTCCTCCTCCTCCTCCTCCTCCTCCTCCTCCTCCTCCTCCTCCTCCTCCCCTCCTCCCCTCCCTCTCCTTCCTCCTCTCCTCCTCCTTTCCTCCTCCTCCTCCTCCTCCTCCTCCTCCTGCTCCTCCTCCCCCTCCTCCCATTCCTCGTCCTCGTCCTCGTCCTCGTCCTCGTCCTCGTCCTCGTCCTCCTCCTCCTCCTCCTCCTCCTCATCTGCGTGGGCGGGTGCCAATCACTGGCGCCCTCGTGGGGGCGCTGGGGGGCACCTGCTGTAACGGGGAGGGAGGACGAAGAGGAGGGGAGGGCGAACCTCGGCCGCCAGCAAAAATGCGCCATCGCCCCCCCTCGGTGAGGAGGACAGGCACGCTCTCGCCACGGCCTGGGCGGCCCGTAGCGGCCCAATGTGGCGGGGAACTGGGGGCATAAAGAAGACGAAGAAGACACATGAAAAGAAACATGAGTGTACGAAGAAAAAAGAAGGCGACGACACATACTAAGCATGTGAACAGTTGGATGAGCAGTACAATATTAAAAGAATAATCATAAGTTTAATTAGAACCACGCGCGCGCTTCGCGCGTGCCTAAGTTCTAGACAGTGTGAAATTCCATGGGACCTTTTCCATGTGGTCTTCGGGGTTCCTCCCTTTCACCCATGCGTGGTTTTCGGGCGGATACTGCGAAGTTCAAAGAAGGGTTTGGCCTGTAGCGTACCAGCGACGACCGACGACGACGACGACGACGACGACGACGACGACGACGACGGACCACCGACGATCAACATCATTGTCACCTCATCCACGTGTGCGGGAGAGGCGTTTCTGGAGCGTCTTGCGGGCGTCATGGGGGCGTCCTCGGGCCTCGACATTGGGTGGGCGGGTCGGGGGGTGCAGCTAGGGCCACGTGTTCCGAAGGGCTGTTCGGGAGTATGGAGGACGAAGGGCTTCAAGCTGGCTTCTGAAGGTCTGTGTAGAGGCCTCCTGCGAGCTCGGTGGGGGTTTCTCGGGAGCTTCTCGGTTATTTCTGGAGCCTTCTTGGTGGCTTTTGGGGCGTCGTGAAGGCCTCCTAGGAGTCTCTTGGGGCCTCCTGGGGGCCTCTTGAGGCAGAGGGCACCGCCAGGTTGGGAGCCTCTGGAGGGGTGCGGGGCCCCTTCTGAACCCTCTTGGAGCCCTCAAGGCCCCCCCAGCCCCCCATGCGAACCAGAGGTCGCAGTTCTGGGTCCATCCCGCGTCTGGGTTGTGGGTTAGAGGCTTCTCGGATGTTCGCTGGGATGATATCGTGGGATGCCTCTCGGGGGGCCTTTTGGAAGCAGGTTTGAAGCCTCCACGAGGGCGTTGTGGAGCTTGTCGGACCTCTCTTAAGCATCTTTGGGGCCTCTTTGGAGCCTCTTGGAGCCACTTGGGGGCCTCTTTGGGGCCTCCTGGGGGTCTCTGGGGGCGGGAAACTCGAAAGGTCGGTTCGCGTTCTCTCTCTTGGGCCCATCTTGGAGCCGTCCTCAGGCCCTCTTCAGGCCCTCTTGGGCCGTCTTGGGGGCCTCTTGGGCCGATCATGCGGCCCTCTTGGGCTGTCTTGGGGGCCTTGGGGGCCTCTTGGGGCGACATGAGAGGCTTCTTGGGCAGTCTTGGAGTGTCGGCCGCTCGAAAACGTGAGAAGCAACGATCATTGGAAACACACAATGGAAATCAATGATTGTAACATCTTGGGGCTTTCTTGGAGATCCTCGCGGAGCGACCTTGGGGCATCTTGGGGGCCTCTTGGGCCGATCATGGGGCCATCTTGGGCGGCTTGGAGCGCTCTTGGGCCGTCTTGGCGGCTTTTTGCCGTCTTCAGAAGCCTAGGTGGACGCCTCGGGGAAGCGGAGAAAGTTCCGGGACTCCGAAAACGGGTCCCTGGATGCCAAAAAAGGCGCCCGCAGCCCAGGGGGCAAATTCGGTTACGAGGGGGGGCGGAGCTTGGGAAAAGTGTGCGACCCTGGGCCGCGGAGCCCTGGACGCCGCTTGTATTATATATGAGCTGATGCGACGCATCTCAAGATAATCAATAGCACGAACATGCGAGCGACGATACTGGAACATCGCAACACGAAAAAGAAGGATCACAATAATGAGACGAGCAAAAGAGGACCACGACTGGATGGGCGGAGGGGGCACGGAAGGCTCCTCCCAGGTCGAGAGGTTGGCCCAGCAGTCGAACTCGTCCTCCGCGGGGGCGCCCGCGCAGGAAAACGGCAGGGAGGGGGCACGGAGCGAGGGAGGTGCTGCGAGCGCCGTCGCGAGGCAAGGGGGTCGGGCGCTGCCCGAAGCGATCCTGGCCCTGGGTGCTCCCCAACCTTGTCGCTTCATATCTCGGGGGAAAACAAACCTACCTCGCTTTTGACCACCCTCGCTTCCAAGAGATACCAAACACTGCCAAATTGCGGCCTGTACTGGTCAGGACGCTTGACGAGGAGGCGCGTGGTATGGCTTGGTTTTGCCTGGAAGCGAAAGCGGGGGAGGTAATTCACGCTCTGAATATCGGGTCCCGCGGGGCGGAGGGGGGGGGGTCAACTCTGGGGAGGCCGCCTGGGCCTCCCCGGAAGA